CTGAGAGGAAGAAGAAGAAGAACTCTCTCTCTCTCTCTGTTACGAACCAAGTACTAACCTGTGATGTTGGCGCTGTGCTGCAGGTACCTCGAAGACGAAGCTGGAGCAACGGCGCTGCAGGTAGGTACCTCTGGCCTCCGCCCAAGCTCTCTCTCTCTCTCTCTCTAGTACTACCTAGCTATGGCGCCCAGCGCTGGAGACTACAGCTACCTACTGCGCCCAGCGCTGAAGACTACTAGCTAACGCTACTACTACTACAACGCAGCRCTCCCTCCAGAGTGCTGCACCCGAATCCTGAAGACTACAACTACCAACTGCCTACCTGTGAAGTGCCTGGGAAGTCCCTTAGTACTTCCTCGGCCTGCCTCCTGACTGCAGGAGGGCGAGCAGGCCGAGGAGGCAGCTCTTGCCAATGCCGAAGTGTGCCAGGGGCTGGCGTGCAGCAGCCTGCTTGAGGCAGGCGTGGGAACAGTCTAAATATAGGTTGTTCCCAAACCCTGGTTCCGTGCCTGAGTTTCAGGGCCGGTCGTTCTGATGAACGACCGAAAATGGCCCTTGGGTTCAGGCTAAAAATGCTATTACCATTTTTAGTCTGAACTGTCGCAGGGGCTGTAGGCCTTGAAAGTCAGGCTTTCGGCCTGAACCGAAATGGGGCCTGTAAGCCCTGAATTTCAGGCTTTCGGGCTGAAATCCAGGGTTTTGGCCTGAATCCAGTCGGGCCTGCAAAATGGCCGTCGGGCCTGCAAAATGGCCCGTGTGTGCATGCGCTGCATGTAACATCTAGCCCACCCCACCTGACTTCATTGAAAAAGAAAACATACATCTCCTGTCTACGTTGCACAGTCTGACTGATCGGGACAGTCTACATTTTGCAGCAAGAAAATCACAGTCCCTATCCCCCCAACTGCACAGGGGGGCTAACTGAGGAGAAGGGGGTTTTGAACCATCGTTTTTGTGAAAACTATGGATTGCATTATGCCACTTCTTTCAATACAGAATTGCTTGTAGCTGATTTGTATGTTTCTGAAATTGATGAAGAAGTCTTCCGTATTGCACACTTCAGTTATTTGTCCTCTTGCTATATTTGTCCGGGCGAAAGCCAACACAGGGATTTCTGGTAGGATTCATATGGGCCCAGCGGACAGCTCTCTGTCTGCAAGTAATTACTATTATTTACTAACCATTATTTGCTTGTGTTGGATTTCTTACACTGTTTGCATCCTGTCATTCTTGCTGATGCTGTGGATGCTTGCTTCCCGCCAATCCAGGACAATGTTCTATCATCCAGCAGACAAGCCCTGTTGGAGACATTCATTATATAGACCCCCAGTACTTGCAGACTGGGCATTTGAGCCCTAAATGTGACATCTATTCCTTTGGCATTACCCTGTTGGAAATGCTCACTGGAAAGCTCCAAACTGCACGGGGTATGACTGTGCGGGATATAATTCAAGAGGCGCTCACGAATCGAGATACATTTGCGACTGTATTGGACCCGTAAGTTGTTCCATCCCTAACCAAAATGGCGTTTGAACCATATCTGCCGCGCTCAGGTGTGGTGCGCGAGGCGGTGGGGGGCGCTATGCCCTGTGCGCGTGCACCGAGTGCACTGTGCACACACTTTTTTTCTTCTTCTTCTTGTGTGTGTGTGTGTGTGTGTGTGTGTGTGTGTGTGTGTGTGTG